TGCCTGTTGGCGTCAGCTGATAGAGGTGTTATGATTCTATCTTGTTATGCACAATGTTGATTATTCTCTCTGAACTAGCTAAATGCACGGGTCTGAGGTAGAGTTCTTCAGAATTGACGTGGCATCTCTACCGTGAAGTCAGAACCTCTGACTCTTTGACTTGTTTTGTGAATTCTCCGGCCGAGGCTCCAAATAAACCCATCAGTGTTTGCCATCAAAGCTCCAGCTCTCCCCGTGTCTCCTTTGAGTCGGTGACTCCTCCTGCATTGCTACACAGAAGTTTCCCCCACACTTATCATTACTTTTTTCCCCCGAAATCTGACTTTTGTAACAATATTGAATTATGTTTATTAGATGATTACTTTTCTCAGAATTTGACTTTTTTCTAAAAATTCAGATTTATTTTTTAACAATATTTAAATATTCTAACAAAATGAGATTTTCACGAAGCCACCAAAACTATTTATTGGTATTTTAACGCTAAAGGACGAAAACAGGAGGCAGAACACGGATACATATTTGAGTAAAGAGGGTTATCTCACTGGGCGGAGAGCAGGACAGGAGGAAGAGGAGTAAGAGGATGAAGAACATTATTTACTTTTTTTCACTGTATTCTGACTTCTTTAACAATATTTACAGTAATTATGTTTATTAGATGAGACGTTCACTAAGCCACGACAGTGTTTCTTTTGTTGTTCTATTGATGCTTAAGGACGAAAACGTGAAGCAGAAGACAGAAACATATTAGAGGGTTAACTCACTGGGCGGAGTGTAGGACAGGAGGAAGAGGAGGAAGGAGACGAGAAGTAGATGACTTTATCTGAGAATCCTGACTTTTTTTCTTAAATGTTTTTGCTGTTTTCTCCGAATTCTGACTTTTTTTCGAACAATATTTAAATATGTTTATAAGATGAGACCTCCACGAAGCCACCAAAACTATGTGTTGGTATTTGGACACCAAAGGACAAATTAAATCTGCACTGCTAAAGGACAGAAGGCAGAAAAATAAGGCGAGTAAAGAGGGTTGTCTCACTGGGCGGAGTGCAGGACAGGAGGAAGAGGAAGAGGAGGAGGAGGAGGAAGAGGTCTGGAGGGCAGGGCCTGAAGGAGAGGGAGAAGGAGAAGGAGCCATCTTGGCTGGAAGACACTGCCTGGGGGGCTGAGGGGTCACTGGAGACTGCAGGGAGGAAAGACATCAGAGAGAGTGGGAGAGGAAGGGGAAATCAATACACACACCTCACAAAACACACAGATAGGTGAAGGTGAGGCAGAGGAGGTGAAGGTGAGGCAGAGGAGGTGAAGGTGAGGCAGAGGAGGTGAAGGTGAGGCAGAGGAGGTGAAGGTGAGGCAGAGGAGGTGAAGGTGAGGCAGAGGAGGTGAAGGTGAGGCAGAGGAGGTGAATGGAGGGAGGAGACCGGGACAACATGAGAAATCGAAGAAAAGAGGTCATGACAGCAGGAGGGGATTAAGGAAGTGGCAGCATGTTGAAGAGTGGAACAGAGACAAGCTGAGGAGTCATGAAGGACCTGTTCCTCTACAGAAGCTAATGTAGGGGTGGCTTCACTAAAGCATGACACCTAGTTGGATGCAAGTGCAACAAAGAAAAGGAACTGAATTTTGAAAATGGATGTAAATGATCTGACTTTTAGCGAAATCTATTCGGCAGATTAAAGTCTGTTGGAGGATTTTATAAAAAGTGAATCAGGACGGATTGAGATTCTCTTGAAAATTGTGACTCACAAGTTAGTCTGCTGTCATGGTAACGAAGAATGAACGTAATGAACTGATGAATGAGTTAAGAAATAAAACCATGTCAGACTTAACACCATGTATGAAATCCCCTGTGGTTAGGAAATGAGTTTCTACAGTAAAGAGTGCCGTTAAAGTCAAGAGATCTTCACACAAGACATGTCAAACTTTAGAAACAATAAAGTCAAATAGATTCATAAAGGTGGATTCTGAAAATATGTTACGACTCATGTTTGTTTAAATGCATATTAAAAAGGCACGAGAGCAGAAGGGTATGGCAACTGAGTGACAACTGCCACAAAAACTCACATTCACAGTTCCTGTCTATGGGCCAAGAGGGCCTTTTCCCCGACCTCTGACACACAGTCTTACATTCATCATATACACATTTCACATGTTATGACACACACACACACACACACACACACACACACACACACACACACACAACACACACACACACACACACACACACACACACACACACACACACACACACACACACACACACACACACACACACACACACACACACACACACACACACACACACACACACACACACACACACACACACACACACACACACACACACACACACACACACACACACACACACACACACACACACACACACACACACACACACACACACACACACACACACACACACACACACACACACACACACCCCACACACACACAACACGACAGCACATTAAGTGAACTAAGAACATCCATAACATTCACCTGTTTGCAACTTACACATTATTTATCACTTGTATAGAGACTCTTATGGCACTACTTCTATTCTATTTTAATGTATTTACTTGCACTATTTTATCTGTTTCATTGTGTTGCACTGTTGGAGGAGCCTGTGACCTAAGATTCTCATCGACATAAGTACACTGCAGCTATGTACGAATGACAATAACAGCCTTGAATTGAATCTTGAAGTAGGATCAGAAAGAGGAGGAGGGAGATACCCCTCAAATAAAAGTTTTCTTGTACTGGGGAATTGGGGATGGGGGGGGGGGGGTGAAGTGTGTGTGAGGGGGTGATGGCGGGGGTGGTAAGAGCCACGGGGTGCATCCCACCGCCAGCTATGCCTCACACACACACACACACACACACACACACACACACACACACACACACACACACACACACACACACACACACACACACACACACACACACAACACACACACACACACACACACACACACACACACACACACACACACACACACACACACACACACACACACACACACACACACACACACACACACACACACACACACACACACACACTGGAAACCAAAGCCTTGTTAGCTTTTTAAAATAATCAGGCAGTTGGATGATGAATGATTTAACAGGTGTGAAGGAAGGAGAACAGGATGCCTTCAGGGTCAGGGGAAGAGTGACAGGCCGACAGAGGGGGAGCGCTCTGGGAATAAACACCATTCCCTTTCATTTCCCTTTTCCTGTCGACGAGGCATCGCCGCGGCCCGCTAATTTGTCATCAGCGCGAGTGTGTGTGAGTGTGTGAGAGGCGACGAACAATCTGCGACTGTCTTTTGTGAGGGAGAGCGACAGGAAGGAGGCAGGTGGAGCTGAGAGTTATGTGGACTGCTGTGTGAGTTTGAGAGGCTTTGGACAAGCATAATGTACAGTTTCAATTCTGTATATTTTTGTATATTTATAGTGTATTCGATATATATACTGTATATGCCTAATTATTGATATGTATATATTCAGTTTCATTCCACAAGCCATAAGACTGTTAAACTGCTGAACTTTTGATAGATAGATAGATAGATAGATAGATAGATAGACAGACAGACAGACAGACAGACAGACAGACAGACAGACAGACAGACAGACAGACAGACAGACAGACAGACAGACAGACAGACAGACAGACAGACAGACAGATAGATAGATAGATAGATAGATAGATAGATAGATAGATAGATAGATAGATAGATAGATAGATAGACAGACAGATTTTCCTTTAGTTTTAATATTGGATGTAGCAGCATTCAATTCATTATACCTCAAAAGTAACGGTGGCATTTCCATAACAAAGAAACTATTCATCTCAGTTTTAATAGGTGTAGAATGGCCTCTCTCTCACAGCTCAGTCTGTACTGTAAAGTCTTCTAATTTCTGTATGTAGCACTGACTGTATAATGGTTTGGCTTATTAGTATATTAGTGCGTAACATAGTAAAAGAAAAAAAAATATATATATAGAATAAATGAAAATTACTAAATAAATGTGTACTAAATAGCATACATGCACTTATTCACACATTGCTTTATTTATAAATACATATAAAAAATGTTTGTATTAGAATTTGTAATGGGTTTGGTACTGTAGGCTGTATTTCCTTGACATTTCACATGATTACGAATGAACAAGTGTCTGACTGTAAGTACAACATGTTAGAGGAGCTGTTTAACTCATATCTCTGAGAGCAGAAGAAGAAACAAATAGGAAAGTTTAGCCTGAAAAAAGACGATGGAATGCTGCCCTCTAGTGTCAGCCTCTGTCCTCACAGGTATGATATGATGAACAGCTGAAGATCTTAAAGGTCACCTATCATGCTATTTTTAGGCAATAGCATAGGTCTCAGATATATAAAAATATATAAAAAACATGTCTATGAAGTGTTTTGCTCAAAATACCAAACAGATCACCCATTCTAGCCATGCCTCATATCCCTCTATTTCACTTCCTGTTTCAAAAGTGCTGATTTGGGTATAAAGCTTTAAAAAAGAAAATAATTTGATAAAAAATAAAAAAGGAGGGGGCTGAGCTCATGCGGGACCCGGCAGCTACTGTCTAAACTAAATACTGCGATGATGAAACGCCATATCATGGATTATCAAGGATTATTTCTGAAACAGTATGGAGCTCAAAGGCTTTCTCTCTTGCCGGTTATACCACAAGGTGAGTTCCTTTATATTTCCTGCTTCTTCACACACATGCTCTCCAGTACAGGTTAGCTCTGAGTGTTAGCGATGCTAATGTAAACACCGACCATATTACGTCCAAAACAGTCTGGCATTGTTTCTGATAGCAACTTTCTGATAGGGCCGTGGGTCCACATTTCCAATATTACGTCATATCAGACGCAAATCTGGATCAGCTCCGTTGTTCCCCGTTTTTAGAGATTTGGGTACGGAGGAAAAGAGAGAGGGTTTTATTTTCTGACGCTGCGTGAGTTCCCCGACACACCGGGGACACATCTTGATGTATAAAAGACATCAAAAAGTGCATTTTGCATGATAGGTCCCCTTTAAGACGTCTCTTCACAACAGCATTTAATATTTTATAAGAAATACATTTTTTACTTTGGAGCTTAAATTAAGAACTTTGCTAATGAAGTTAAAAACAGAATGCTGTTTCAAGCACTTCCTAAATTATTTAAAGGCCACATGTCTCCCATTACTAAATACATCAGTGTTTATTATTATTATCCTGATTCATGAAGAAATGTCAGATTGAGAAGGGTATTGAGGAAACACTTATTTATTTTTATTTTAAGCAGCCAATAGCGCCATCTCCCTGTTCAGTGTTGAACTTAACCGAGGTCACAAGTTCAGTTTTAAACAACCTCAGTTTGGATTTGAGGGCGTAGTGTTTGCTTTTTTATTCAACCAACGACCCATAATAGTGTACCAGAAAGGTGAAATGAATGACACACACACACACACACACACACACACACACACACACACACACACACACACACACACACACACACACACACACACACACACACACACACACACACACACACACACACACACACACACACACACACACACACACACACACACACACACACACACACACACACACACACACACACACACACACACACACACACACACACACACACACACACACACAGTAAGTGAACTAAGAACATCCATAACATTCATCTGTCTGCAACTTACACATTATTTATCACTTGTATAGAGACTCTTATGGCACTACTTCTATTCTATTTTAATGTATTTACTTGCACTATTTTATCTGTTTCATTGTGTTGCACTGTTGGAGGAGCCTGTGACCTAAGATTCTCATCGACATAAGTACACTGCAGCTATGTACGAATGACAATAACAGCCTTGAATTGAATCTTGAAGTAGGATCAGAAAGAGGAGGAGGGAGATACCCCTCAAATAAAAGTCTCCCAATTTAATTTAAATAGTTAGTTTTTATATCTGGACTTATTTGGTTTATTCTGTTGACTTAATGAGCATTGTGTGTGTGAGACATACATTTTTTATTTGATTATGAATTGATGAAATAAAACGTTATGTATGAAAATGAATTGATGGTTTGTGTCTTTTTCCTTTATTCCCCTGTCTAGGGCCCTAATTACACGTCTGGATATTTTGGGAGATTAATTTAATAATACATCCATTTGTACATTTAATTAACTGAATCAATTAAATATTTTCCAAACGTATTAAAAAAGTAAAAGATGTAATAGTTCAAGCTCGGCAAATTTCAATATTTGAATGTGTTTCTGTAGCAGGGTTAGACGTATCATAACAAGCAAACAAAGTGAATAATGAAAGACAAGAAGAAGTCATTTCTAATCTGTGTGATTCTATCTCTTGATTTACAGGGAAGCTGTGGCACATCTAATTATTAAAACCAATTAAGCTCAGGTCTCTCAGTGAGTGATGTCTCCACAGGTGATAATAAGCAAACTCAAATTAATGATTCAGTGGCTCGTTAAAGTTTGATGAGCGGCCCCCATGGAGTCATTAAGGAGCCTTGAGACGTTAATTCACCTACTAATCTCAGTTTAATCTATACGTAAAATAATCAAGAATATTAACTCCTTATAATTACACGGTTTAATATATTAATCACTTCCCAATTAAGGGGGTAGAGCTCAGCTTAATGAGGAGCGGCCCACCCAATATCCACTGTATGACACACAGCTAATTATTACACCAACGTTTTACAAATGACTTCAAAAAGGTCAGCAGTTGTGGTATTAACATCGACAGAAATATGCAAAACTCCTCAGAGATATGCATATATAACGTCATGGTTGCTCCCATACAAGGAAGTCTGAGGTTGATTCCATTTGCATTGTGGGAATTAATAATAAAACTGCCTCAAATTGAACATGAAATAAATAAGTACCATATAAATGTATTGTATTTATTTCAGTTATCTCTAGTACTCTCTCATTTATGCATAAAAACTAGGGCTGTCAGTCGATTAAAATATTTAATCGCAAATTAATCGCACATTTTTAATCTGTTCTAAATGTACCTTAGAGGAAACATTTTCAAGTTTTGAATACTCTTATCAACATATGAGTGGACAAATATGCTTTATGCAAATGTTTGTTTATTATCATTGGAACAATGACAAATATTCTCCTGAATATTCTCAATACAACAACCTGGAACCTCTCTCTCTCTTACACTCTCTCCCAACCCTGTCTACTTCTTGGCACTGAGCCTGTTTACAGGTGTTGGCGAAATGCTGCTCCTCTGTCTTCATAACAGTCAAAGCATGAGACTGAAGTTCCCACCTAGGGTCAAAATAATGCGCTGTGATGTGCAGTCGACACGTTGGATGCGATCCGAATTATCTCACACAGTCCCTCGTCCTCCACAATGTTAATTGTCCTGCAAGCTGTAGCCACCCATTTAGCTATCGCTGTCGAAAGCATGCTGCCCGTGTCCAAGCGTCTCCCTGGCAAACTTTCAAGCGTGGTCTGCCGCAAGCGAGCGGCAGGAGCAGGGCTGTCAGCATCAGCTGTGTGCTTGGCTTGCTGTTTAAAACACCTTTTTTTGTATCCATATCTCTCGCTAGAATCTCCCACCATCCAACTAACAACAACAACAACAACAACAACGTCGAGCCTTTGGGCTCTGAAACTACGGGGCGGGCCGAGGACAAATACACATGCGTTAATCGCACGTTAAAATAATTAGTGGCGTTAAAAAAAATTGCGTTAACGCATTATTAACGCGTTAACTTGACAGCCCTAATAAAAACTCATTAATTAAATGTTATTCTAAGGGATGTAAAAAGTTGTTTTATATCACAGGATTTTTATAAGTTCTACAAAAAGAAAATAACTAAGGTTTTTAAAGTTTGTATTATTATTTGAGGCACGTGAGGATTTGACTGCTGCTATATTTACAGAGCCTTCTGAATAAACGGAACTGTTCAAACGGCCTACACTTATGCAGTGTTGGTTTGAATTCATAATAAATAATAATAATAATAATATATTGTATTTAAGGGCGCCTTTCATGGCACCCAAGGACACCGTACCATTTGGTAATTATTTCTAAGAGGTAAAAAAAACAGAACATGATTAAAAACACTAACAGGCAAACATGGAGGAGAACATCAAAGTGGACACAAACGATTATCAACACTATTCTAGTCACACCAAAATAAATTATCCTTACATGTCTAGTCTATTTTTCCCAGATGTGCTCGAGTCGTGTAATTTGTGCCGCGTTGAATTCACTTGCGTATGCTTATGAAGTGTTGATATAAACTCAATATTAAATGTCTAATAAAAGCCTGCTGAACGAAACGTGTAAGTATCAAAAGTGTGTGTTTGCCAAATAGCTTGGAAAGAGCAATGTAAAAGCGTCAATGCTTAGGTCATCCATGCATCATAATAATAATTATCATTTCATTATTTTTGGAGGTTTCACAAGAAGTGTTGCAACATCTATACCATCCGGCAGGAGAGCATTGACAGTTCATCCTGCTCTACCCGTATATTGCGTATCCCCTTATTTGGAGAAAACTAAACTGAGAAAATGAAGAAGTCATTCAGGAAAGAACAAAGATGTGTTCTTGCACACAAAAGAAAGGTTAAAATCTCTGCATAGTCATGTGCCCATGGAGAGTAAGACTTTGTTCTTTGGACTCATACCTCAAGAATGGACTAAAAAAGACAAATATGTATTAAATCTGTTGCTGGTGGCGAGTAAAAAAGCTCTTACATGGAAGTGGTTATCTCCAGATAGCCCAACTTTAAACGCATGGATGGACAAAATGGAGAGGATAACATCATCTGTCAATCACAAACTGGAACTATGTGTGTCACAATGGAGAAAGTGGACTGATTTCGTAAAACCTCATAGGCCAAAACCTCAACGTATGATTTGACTGTAAAGTCCTGATCACTCCCTAATGTTCGTATTGTTCGTACTTTTTACTGTTTTTATTTTATCTTTGTGTAAAAAAAAGAAAAAGGCATTTCGGACAGACGAACTTAAGATGTACAATTACTATGTCTTGAAAAAACACTGTGTAATTGTTTGCTGCCAAATGTCAATACAAAATATATTACAAAAAATAGGAATGTTTCATAAGCAAAACCTATTGTGTGACGTACGTGTGCACAAACTAGTCATGAGTCTTGATAAATGTTTAAATGATCTTCCCGCTCAGTTCTTGTTGTCATGCTGTAAAGAAACATGGTGGTGCATTGGGGTCGTACTAATAAAAGTGTAGAGGGGACAGGTGTGTGTCCTGCAGTCTCACCTGGGGCGTGGTCACTCTGAAGGTGGGGGCTCCTGCTGTGGGGGTGGGGGGCCGTGGAGAGATGTTGTTCTGGGCCTGAGCTTGAGCCTGAGCCTGGGCCTGGGCCAATGCCTGCTGAGGAACCATCACCAGCTGACCCAGCTCCGTGCGCACCAGTACCATCCCTGCAGAGGAAGAGCATCAGATGACACATTACAGGGGAAATGCACGTTTAGTTCTCTCATTGAAACACATTTTAAAACAGTCAGTCCTCTTGTTAATGGCTTAAAAGAGGACATTTGGAGGTGTAGGAACTTAACCGCCTTTAAAGGTCCCCTATTATGCTGTTTTTCATCAATATATTATAGGTCTCAGATATATACAAAACATGTCTCTGAAGTGTTTGGCTCCAAATACCAAACAGATCATTGCAGCATCCCATAATCCCCTCTGTTTCAGCCCTGTTTCAAAAGTGCTGATTCTCTGTCTGTTAGGCCCAATCCCAAACCACCCCCTACACCCTACCCCTACACACTACCCCTCTGTGACGGAGTGAACTCCATGGAGTGACACTCGCAGCTCAACGAGGCTCCCTCCTGTCAGATGGAGGGAGTAAATATAGCGGCAAGCTTTGGGACAAACTCCCCTCTCTCCGGCAGAAACAGGAAATGCCGTAACTGTATGTAACAACGGTTTCAAATCGGCATCTCTTAGACAAAAAATGTAAATGAATAACTAAAATAAAACTCCAAACATCTTTAATTGTGTTACTTTTTTGTAAAGCTCTTTTAGTTTTAAACCTGATTTTTATAAGCTTCTTAGTTTTTGCAACAATCTGTAAATATACACAACTTTATAATAAAATGCACACATTTACCTTTTTCTAGACTAAACACAGGTATACGATCCTAAGTTAAAAAATACGAGGTTATCATGAGGTTGTTATCATCTCAATTGCAGGAACTATTTGTAAACAGCTTGTTTCATGACGGACACGCACAGCATTGAGTCCGGTCAGGTAGGGCAGCACGTGAAGTCAGCCCCGATGCAGACTCGCTGTTTGAGGGCTTGATAGCCCACTCCCCCTCCACACTCGTTGGTTTGGAACAGCACTTAATGTGGCGGACCCTCCGCGCGAACGCGCAAACGGAGGGGTAGTGTGTAGGGCGTGGATTGGGATTGGGCCTTACTTTAGATGAAAATAAGGAGCCACTCCCCACACCCCTCTGAGAGATATTTGGTTAAAAAGAACACAATGGTGCTCTAGGAGGAGATTCAGGTGATAAGGTGGGGGGGGTTACCTTGGTTGGTGATTGGCTAATGGTTACGCAAGCCAAAACATCGTTATGACATCATAAAGTGGCCAAAATCTGATCAGCTCATTTTTTTATATGAATAATCAGGACAAAAAGAAAAATCTTTTTTCCTGAAACTTTCAGAATCTCTTTACACAGAGAACACATGTTGATGTAGAAGAGACATGAACAAGTGGATTTTACATGATAGGTGACCTTTAAGAAATGCCAGATGTCCACACAGACACAAAGGTTGGCCTCACAATGGTCCGTGACTACATTCTCAGGGACAGAGTGAAGTTTAAGGATGCCGAAATTAAAATCATGTGCAAAGTTGATGACATCTTTTTAACAAAAGAACTGATGGATGCACTTTAAATGAATTGTTGATGAAAAAACTAAAGATTTTGATGTAATAGGGGTATAATTGTGTTGTTTTTTTTAAAACAGGAAAATGTACATGCATATTTTTCTCTGTAATTTATGTGCCTGAAATCAATAAAGCGTCTAAAAAGTGAAAAAGCGAAAAGGGAAGTTCTCTTGTTCCAGAGCTAAATATCTTAGAAAGCATTTAATGGATCGTTATGACATTCTGTATTGACGACCTCCTCAGGATGAATTGTATTAACTTGTATTTTAGTTTGTGATAACATACTTGTAGTTCCTAGCCCATCCTTCTCTTCTCTGTATGGAGCACTTAAAATGGTTTGGTTTATTTAAAGCTGATGTATCTGCAGGATCTTCAGGGTTGATGAGACTTATTGTACGTCGCTTTGAATAAGTGTCAGCTACATGTAATGCAATGTAATGTAATGTTAACATCTCAGTCAATAAATGGTATATTTAAGCCACCTAAATTCATATATGTATTTTTTTATTGGATGTGGATGGCAGGTTTGTAACTTCATTTGCATATTACAACTTCCTCAAAATAAGAAATGAAAAGATCTGAATCTTGCTGCATATTAAAATACATTACATTTCATTTAGCTGATGCTTTTATCCTAAGTGACTTACAGTAAGTGCATTCACCCATGAAGAAACAAACTGAAAAGCAAGAATCCAGCAGCGACATTTCCTATTAACCCAACCATATTAAGTGCTAGTGCATTATACCAACTAACAAACAGTCTAAGGAGTTGAAGCTGGGATCATGAGCGTATTACACCGACTCTTTGCTCTTTCCAAAAGGCTACGTCAGGTCAGGTGAAGAGAGTTTTACTACACATTTGTTTATCTTGCAGGATTTCCACAAGGTATAAAAACGACATGGGGATAATAGAAAGGTTAATCACAGGTTCTGATCATTCTCTCAGTTATCTGACTGAGCCGTTATTCCTGAGGTGAGATGACTGAAACAGCTGCGAGCAACCACAAAAACTATACTGGCAATATGTTTTGGCACCCAGAAGTTAAAGCCTTCTTTTTAAAGTTAGTGTACTGAGTTTACAAGTTGTATTTATTATTACATTGTCTTATTTCTTGTTTTTCATTTCAGATTTGTGATATTATTGTTGTGTTATGTCACAGTTTGGTATGTTTGATGTAAATACAATATGTTGCACGGCTCAGTTGTCACATCATGATGGCACTAACTGCTGGTGAAGTGGGAAACACATCTGTTGAGTGAGAACGCTTTTATGTGCAATATACAGTTTTCCCTACAGTATTTACTCATGTCCTCAATTGCTGCTATTTCAAAAATTCATGTTTTCTTCATTTTTATGATAGATGTGTGATGATTGGTTCACCAGTGTGCATGATTTTATTTTATTAATATGTGCTTGGGTTTTTATTATTTTATTATTCATACTAATTTGCCTTTAATCTGAACTGTCAACTTTGCTGTAACATGGATAAATCCCCAGCTGGAGTTTTTTTTAAAGGTCCCCTATTATACTGTTTTTCATCAATATATTATAGGTCTCAGATATATACAAAACATGTCTCTAAAGTGTTTGGCTCCAAACACCAAACAGATCATTGCAGCATCCCATAATCCCCTCTGTTTCAGCCCTGTTTCAAAAGTGCTGATTCTCTGTCTGTTACTTTAGATGAAAATAAGGAGCCCCTCCCCACGCCCCTCTGAGAGACATTTGGTTAAAAAGAACGCAATGGTGCTCTAGGAGGAGATTCAGGTGATAAGGTGGGGGGGGGTTACCTTGGTTGGTGATTGGCTAATGGTTACACAAGCCAAAAAATCGTTATGACATCATAAAGTGGCCAAAATCTGATCAGCTCATTTTCAGACAGGTTTTTATATAAATGGATCAGGACAAAAAGAGAGAATCTTTGTTCCTGAGACTTTCAGAATCTCTTTACACAGAGGGGGGGACACATGTTGATGTAGAAAGGACATTAAAAAGTGGATTTTGCATAATAGGTGACCTTTAATACAGGTGTAAACAGCCCCTTGCTGCAAACCTTACCCTGAGGGATGGTGAACCCGGGGGGCAGCTGGATGGTGGTCTGCTGCTGAGGGGGTCTCACTATCAGCTGGGGGGCCACGATCCTCTGAGGGGCTGCGAGTCCAGGACGGGGGGGTGTAGACTGGGTTGGGGAGGGCATTGTGGGTCTGATCATGCTCACAGTGGAGGTCACTGATGGAGTCTGAGCACTCACACATGCAGACCCTGCTGTGGATGTAGCAGAGATCTGAGGCTGGGATACTGTTGTTGTTGCGGTGGTTGTAGCTGCTGCTGTAGTTATAGTAATTGTAGTTGTTGGTGGTGGTGTGACAACAGAGTTTATTACAGAGTTAACAACACCACCAACAGGTTGACCTGACATTACAATTTTGGACTGACAATCGTCTGCTTTGGAAGTGTCTGTGAGTGTTTTGCTGTGGTTCCCCTGTGGAGCTGCTTCTGCTGATTCTGTGGATCCTACTGGGGCACCCTGCTGCACCAAGGCCGAAACACTGGTCCCATTTTGGGCTATGCTCGCCACAATGTGACTCGGGAGTCTCTGCAGAGCGATGGTGGGAGTCCCCCGGTCCAGAGCAATAGCTGACTGTCCTGCAGGGATGTTTGCATGAGACAGGGTGAAAGTAGAAGCATTAATAGAGGATGTCACCGCCAGAGGAGCAGAGTTTGGAGTAGTTGCATCCACAGGAGGGCTCAGGTTTTCCCCCGTGTTGCTGTTCCTCCTGGTCCCTACAGCGGCGCCGTTCAAACTCTTGATCCGAGCAGAAGCGTTTCTCCTCGGTGTGTTCACGCGTTTCCCCGGGCTCACCTTACTGGAGGCGGTGCTGATGCTGCCCGGCGTCGATGCCAAAGTTGACACACCAGAAGCGGTCAGTGTTGTGATGGATGCTCCGTGTGACTGCGACCCGCCACAGGCTGCAGAAGTGGCGGTAAGATCGGTGAAGGAAGCCGTGCATCCTGCAGGGGAAGACGTTAGAGTTGTATCTTTGCAGTTTGCGTCCTGGTGCATCTCGGGTTTATTATACCGCCGTCCTTGTTGTTGTTGTGCCTGTGCTGGTAGCGTTTTCCCTAAGTGATGGTTAGCGGGGGCCACGGAGCCTCCGTTTTCCTCTGCTTTCCCTCCGGGGTTGCTTTGTCCGGACAGCTGGGACTCCAAAGAGCCCACCAGGTCGCTCACAGCTTTCTCATCCACCTCTGAAAACAGCATATCTTCCAGGGGGTCGGAGGCGCCCGCCATCTCTGATCACAGATAGCTGTCTTTTTCTTTTTCTTTTTTTTTTCTACTACAGTACGCATGCGTGTTACTATGCATTGTGGGAATGAATCTGACGTCACCATAACAGGGGGGCATCCTGGTTGTAATTTCCATGAACGGTATTTTATATAAAACATTGTTCATTGGTAGCTGTGTTAGGAATTATTACATGTTGGTTAAAAATGGGGGAAAAACGGGCAAAAATGCACCAAGAAATGCCCCTAAAAACAGACATCGAGGGGCAAAATGTGCCTACAAGATAAATAAATAAACTATGATATCTCAAATTATGTCCCAGCTAGTATACTAAGCCTGGGTATTGTACTTGTATGTTGTTATTTGTTATTTTATATTGTATTTTATCAACCACTAAAGCATTCTGTCCAAATGGGAGTCTTGTAATAAGACACCAAAACATTATTTGACCTACGAATTATAATCAATAGTAGGCAATGCTGTGGTTTTTCTATTAAACCATTCAGGAGGGTTTTTTTTTTCAACTTTATTGAACCATTATTCCAATACATCAGAAAAAGGCACATAAACATCAGTGTTCATTACATTAACTCAAAAACTGAGGGCATTATGAACAGAAACCATAAGAGAAAAAATGAACACAAACAAAACACAAGTGGTCACTCAGGAATGAATGTGATTAGACATTTGTAAAATTGTTGGGCTTTTTGACTTTTGTACAATTGAATTAATTGTTTGTACAATTGAATGTCATTAAGAAATCAATAAATACTGGGGAATGATTAATTCCCAATTCCTTTACACCTCCATGGGGGCTTTTCATATTCATAAAGAGAGATGGGCTGACTCCAAACATAATTTAAACATTTGTACCAAGAATTAAAACAATATAGTAGCACAATTAAAAACACTATGAATAAAAATGCAATAAAAACAGACTGTGTATTTCATAAATATGAAATATGAAACTGTATTTTCTTATGAATTCTTTATGTAATTATTGTATTTCTTATGGCTACCCATGATGTGATTTATTTTTTGTACAAAATATATGATGTTCACATGTGTTCTTACAAAATGGACGCCAATTTATTTTTACTTTTTATTTTTATTTTTAGGGGGAAATCATATTCATAAAAGGAATATATAATGTTAATATATGTTCTTAAAAAAAATAATAACACTGGAAGGAAGAGGAAGTGACTTTAGAGGAATATGACGCAGCCTATTTTGTTACCCAGCATCCTCAGCGGCGGTTGAAGGAAAATGAAATCGGCCATGTCGTGGTAGAGATCTGTCCTGCATCCAGCGAGGCTTAATCACGGCTTAATTCACCTTTTTCTCATGTAATGTAGACTTAGAACCACAGCTCTGATCATTACAACATCTAAACCTCTCGTTTGACAGAAAAAAATCCAGTCAAATATCGTGAAAAACCAGATATTCCAACATGAGCGGAGGAGGAACGCCGTACATTGGGAGCAAAATTAGCTTAATCTCCAAGGCCGGGATCCGCTATGAAGGAATTTTGTACACCATTGATACGGAGAACTCGACCGTAGCTCTTGCTAAAGGTAAGTTAGGTAACCCAAGAGGTGGACTACAGTACTTAAATGGGTTGTAAATAACTGATGAACGGGGTCAATTATGTAAAACGGGTATTGAATCCAGCGCACTTAGCTATGCTAGTTTAGCTCTGTAGCTAAGTGGTTAGCATCACTTATCTTAGCATTGTAGCTAACTGTTAGCTTACTTAGCACTCAGCGTCCTTTGTTTACCTTGTGTTTTGGGCTAACGGTAAATATGTTGCCGTTATTACTGAGGACCAAGTGGTATACCGTTTAATTTAAACTAAATTTGTAACGGTAAAACATACGGTGTTTTAAGTCTAATCACGGGTTAAAAGCTACGTTATATTTAAGTCTTTATTCTGAACGTTTGTGAAGTGAACTCAGACGTAAAACATAGACATTAAACAAATTACACGTCATTTCTTAAGCTGGTAAAGTAGTAGCTGCTTCCTCAAAAGCCACTTAGGTGCGACTATAACTACTTTGTATTAGTGGATGCATATTCGATCACTAAACTAATAATATGGAAAATAAAGTTATAGGAAAACTCAGGCTATAGGCTAATTTAACTTGCAGATATTTTTTCCTTGAAGAGATGAAATGGCTATCTATTTTGAACAATGACATTGTGCATCACTTGCATAATAAGTGCCGTGTGCACTCATATATTTTTACATACACTGAGTTTATATCTAAAATAAAAGCCGATTTAAGAAATATAAATTGAATCATTTGAATGAGGGCTGCAACTTCTTAATACATTATTCTGCATGTTCTTCATTTCATATTTGGCCTAATTTTGGTCTCCATCATAGTTTCTCAAAGTCCAAGATAATGTCTTAAAATTATACATTTGTCAGTCCAAAACTCAAAGATATTTACTTTAATTTGACCTAAAACCGAGAAAAGCAGGACATTTTCATATTGGAGCGACTGAAAACATTTGTTGTCGAGAATGCATGAAAAACACAAATTACCCTATAGTAAGCAGTTTTGTGTGCACCTGTTAGGGTCTACTTGTTGCGTCTCTGATGTGATTCGTCCTGTGTGTTTTCCCAACAGTGCGCTCTTTTGCAATGAGGACCCGGCCCACTGACAGGCCTATTCCTCCTCGGGATGAAGTGTTTTGAGTACATCATCTTCAGAGGGAGTGACATAAAGGACCTGACAGTCTGTGAGCCGCCCAAAGCCACTAGCTCCCTGCCTCAGGACCCTGCTATCGTTCAAGTAAGTTCATCTGCATCCCTGTACATTAAACATATTCTGTATATTTGATTAAAAAGTCATAGGGAATCTTTCGGACATTTTTAAGGTAATTTCATTTGCGTTTCATGCGTTGTGCACACTGGCTTACGGTCACAACTTACTGGACATCCATTGCTGCCTTTTTTTTCCTGTAACGCACCCAGACTTGTCACAGTGGGAACGGCACAGGTGTATCTGATAACATTTAATTATGGCTCCGCTCCTGTCATTAAAGTCTCTCAGTACACCAGGGTTCTGAACTGGCTCACCTGATTATAATGCAGCCTGGACTGACTAATGTTATTGATCACACCTGTGCTTCTAATGCCAGGACAAAACAATAGACAATATAAGCGGAATAAGTTAAGAACATAACCAGTCACATTGTAGCTCATAAGTAGCACTTTAAGGTGCATGCATATTTGCACCTACAACAGAGTTCCAAAACTAAACTGATATCATGTTGATACAAACATTTTATTGACACTGAGGATTTAAACCCTTCCCTGTTCTTAGTTGGCTTTTTGCTGAGACCTAAGTAGCAGTGTAATATGGGTAAAATAAAACACCACCTCATAGTCAAAATGTGTTTTACAAAATCCCCTACATTTGCAGCCATTACTCCTGTACTTAGTATTTCTAATGGTTTCAATAAACGTATTTGCACGCCACTGTTTTTAATTCAATGTGTATTTATTTTTCTAGTCGTCGCTTGGATCCGCCAATGTTGCCCCGCCGCCCTCCTTCCAGGCCCCGGGGCCCTACGTTCCGCTCAGCAAGGCCCCTCCTGCCCCCTATAGCCAGTTTGGAGTCGCCCCCCTAGCATCTCAGACGTTTGGATCTGCTGGAGGTAAGGAGTCGATCTTATTCAAAATAACTGTCTATTATCTTCCTGGGTTCACAGGATTGCACCAGAAACTGTGAAAATGGTTCCCACATGATAATTTTTGGGGCGATTGCCTAATTTAAGTGACAGGCTGACATAAGTTATTATTTTATAAATAAATGAAAGGCAATATTTGTCTGGAATGTTGGAACAATCTAAACATATATACTTAATTTGTTTCCCGCAGGACGCGCCAGTCCCGAACTGGACTCGTTGAAAAAACGTCCCATTCTGGAGCAGGCCGTGCAGCCCCCCCCCCTCTTCTGCCCCCGCCCCCCCCTGCTCCTGTGGGTCAGAGGCCTCAACCCACTGCGGCCCCCCGACCCCACCAGCAGCAGCGCAGGCATCCAGAAGCCCCAGACCTCCTGGAGCAGAGACGCGTGTAAGGACACCCTGCTCGACGTCTCTACTTCATTTCATCAAAGATTCAAGTCGGCTCAGTTTATGCAATAGCGATGTTATGTTTGCGAACGATCCGATTCTTTTGAACGGCTCTTTGGTACGAACGAAGGGAACCGAGTCGTACCAAAGAGCCGTTCCTTTTATCGTTTATACATTTTTCTGTGAGTAAAAGTAGGTTTCTGGCAATACAGTCAATCATTATCATGGTGATTATTTAGCAGATAAACCTATTAACCCCGCCCCCTTAAAAAAACATCTCTTTTGAACGGCTCCCTTCAAAGAGCCGTAATTCCCATCACCATTATGCCGTGTCTGGAGTAGTATTAATATATACGGTATAGCTCTGTAAAACATTTCCTCATCACGTTTTCTTTGGCTGCTCAGCTCCTGAGGTTCAGACGGTGTCTCAGCCCTGAGCATGAACACGGTGCGATGGAGAACCGAGACCCCAAACAAGCGCTACAATGGTGAGTAGAGCGACAACTTGAATGAATTTAATGCAACATTGATTCCCTCTGAAAATGGTGATTCTTCACATGTTTAATGTTTACTTATCTATCTTATTAGTATTATATTTCCATTCCATCACCTCATATGTCTGCAGAGCATTTAAAACATGTTTTTGAATGTATTTCTGCTTCTGTCTTCTAACACATTGGATGGGTTAATGAGATTAAAGAGCTGGCAATCAGCTTTAAGGGGAAGAAACCTGTCCTCTGCATATGTCTAGACTTCAGCTAGTCACTGACGGCAGAAGAGGGACATTTTGATGACCTTACTAGTTTTTTGTTTTTTTTAATTACCATTTGGGGATAATGTATTGAAATGACAGCAATTCCTACACTGCCTGTTTTGTAATAAACCCTGTTCTGTTAGATGAAGCTTAACCATGTCCCGATGTC